GGGGTGGGTGGGTACCTTCTGTTGTCGAGTTATTGTTCTGGTGATGGTATGTTTTCCAATCCAGAACTGAGTTGTTACACTTTCAGAATAATGTCCAATTACAAAGTTATTAGATGGCAGAAAAAGGATATTGTGCTATCTTTAAAACTAGACATTTTTTATTGGACTTTTGGGTTGAGCCTTAGTGGGAGACAGTTCTCTGGGAGCTAATGCTGTGCTAAATAAATGGAAATTATCACTGAGTTTGAGTTGTGCATGATGTCAAATATGAAGTTATGTGGAAACATTTGGCAGTTGCAGTTGTTCTGTACCCCGTACATTAGCCAGACAAGAAGTTTTTAATTGAGTTATTCTTTTATTCATTTACTTATAATTGCCGACCGCAGGTATTTAATGAGTTTAATTGTCGGAAGCCTGAGGAACTAAATGTATTCAAGGGGGTCACTAGGAATTATCTCTTCATTGGAATAGTGTCACTAACAGTTGTATTCCAGGTGCCCTCTCTCTCTCTCTCTCTCTCTCATATATGGGCTATATATTTGTCATGGTTTTACATCCTTTCTCTTTACTTAATCAGGTTCTCATAATCTTCTTCCTTGGCAAGTTCTTCACAACTATTAGGCTTAGTTGGAAATTGTGGCTTGTTTCTCTTGTTATTGCCTTTATGAGGTCAGTCTAACAACTGCTTCTGAGTTCTGGTTGAGCATCATATATAGCAATTTCCAGTGTTATGGCCACAATGAAATGTGCACGCCTAGGTTTTTTGGATGCACATAGACACAGCTGCAGAAGGAACTTTGTGGTTTGCTCATGTTCATATAGTTCTAATTAGCAATGACATTCCCTTTTTTAATTTTCGCGACCAGCTGGCCTCTTGCCATCCTTGGGAAGTTGATTCCAGTTCCAGAAACACCCTGTGGTGAGATGCTCATGAAAAAAATAAGTCGACGACAAACGTCAAGAGGTAAAAACAGCAAGTCTTGGTCGTTATTGGGGCATTTAGAATCAAACAATACCCTTACGTTAATTCATTCACTTTTCCCAGGTTCAGGAAATAGAAGCCCGGACGCTTCCTGAAGTACATAAAGGTGTGGATAGTAGAATACATGGCTTTACGGGGATTTGTTTTTGTGTTCCTGTTCTTTCTCTGCAGTTACAGTACTACACACGCTAGCATACTAGATTACAGTCAACTTGTTGATACAAGGCATGTTTTACTGCCAGCTGGTCATGAAATCTTTCAACAAGGTTTTGTTATATATATGTGGTACACATCCAAATAAACACCGATATGATTATTCATAATGTAACTTACAAAGCGTTCCTTTTGAAGATCTAAGAAATTCCAGTACATGGATAAGACTTCGTAATATATTTTCATATTTGTTTAATTGACATAGATCCCAGTCATCCAATAAAATGAGGATGTGAGGATGTTGCATAGGAAACGGTCGGAATAGCTCAATTGGTAGAGTAGAAGACTGAAAATTCTCGTGTCACCAATTCAAATTTGATTCTTGGCACATTATTAATTTATACGAGTCTCTATTCTACAAATTAATTGATCTGGATCAACATACATAGCCATTAATAATCTAGATTAGACTATATATTTTTTTTATCCATCTCAATTCAGTCTTTAGAGATATACCCTCTTTATAAAGTAGACGGGTAAATAGTTTATTATAGAAAATATGTAAAAGAACTAGAATGGGTATTATGTTGCATTGTACAAATTATGTTATATGAATCAAAATCGGGGGATCCTGGTTTGTCCTACGACAAGTCGTATAGGGATGATGTCCTTTGGAAGTGTGTAGCCTACTTGTAATATTACGTAGGATGGAAGAGATTGTCCTTCAGGTAGGGTTAGCATTTTTATATCCCTAATTTTTCATCATGTATAAACATTGTTTTTGATGAATTTTGACTTTGATTTTATCAAATCAACAATAAATTGACATTCATTTATCAAATTAATATTAAATTTTATCGAATTAACAATTATTTTTTTTTAAAGTAATACTAAATTAATATTCAATTTTATCATATAAGACCAACTTAATTGCCAACTATTATTGTAGTTGGAAGTTACAAGAAGTTGGGATTGCCAAAAAGAGAAGATGACATTGTATTAAAATCTCATTTTGATTTATATGCATGCTACGAGTAAAGTTGGTAATTCATAAGGGAATATGCAAACACATCACATGTTTTTTTGGTTGTCACTAATGGCATAGACGGTAAGGATAGTTAGTGAAACACACATACGAACTATAAGAGTGTGCGGTGATGTTTGAGATACCAGAAGGGATGTCAGTGAAATATCACCTAAATACAAGCTGTGTCAATGAGATTTACCCTAAAAATAATTATGATCTTATTACTAATAAATGAAACCTAACAGAAATATGAAGCTGCTCAAATTTATCGGCATATAACTCCAAAGCATCTACGTTGTGCCCATAAGTATAATCCCTCTTTCTCTTACAGATTTCTCATAAATTTCAACTTTTTCTCTGGTTTAAGTTGATAAGTTTCGACCGAGCAAGAATCTAAACAACCGAACTAATTTGAATTGAATTAAGAATGGATAGCAGTAGACCGGGACAGGGCGGCCCCCCGGGGGGGTGGGAGAGAGAGTGGTTTCCATCCCGGTACCCCTCTTCACAAAATGTCCGTTCATCCCTGATCCACCCCGTTAACCGGAGAAGTTTTAATCCCGCCCCGCGGCAAATTTTCACAAGGCAAAAAATAAATTCGATTAACACCTTAACATTCAAATTTTTTTTAATAAAAAACAAATTATTAAATTAACAAGAAGTCATGGAAAACCCCAATTTGAACATCCCGCTATTACAAAACAAAACAACAAAATTCATACAAATCACCAAAATTAACAAGCAATTCATAGATTAATAAACACATAAATTAACCAACAAATTCCTAGAAATCGTTTGCAGTGTGTGTGTGTGCGCGCGTGTGAATNTAAACACATAAATTAACCAACAAATTCCTAGAAATCGTTTGCAGTGTGTGTGTGTGTGCGCGTGTGAGTNCAAGAAGTCATGGAAAACCCCAATTTGAACATCCCGCTATTACAAAACAAAACAACAAAATTCATACAAATCACCAAAATTAACAAGCAATTCATAGATTAATAAACACATAAATTAACCAACAAATTCCTAGAAATCGTTTGCAGTGTGTGTGTGTGCGCGCGTGTGAATGTGAATGTTGTGTGTGAGTGTGCTGATGTGCGATGAGCGTGTTCCGGAGGGGTATGTGCGCGCGCGCGCTCGTGTGAAAGAGAGGTGAGAGTTGTGAGACAGAAAGCGCGATTGTAGAGAGAGAGAGAGAGAAGGTACCTATNCGCGCGCGCGCTCGTGTGAAAGAGAGGTGAGAGTTGTGAGACAGAAAGCGCGATTGTAGAGAGAGAGAGAGAGAGAAGGTACCTATGCGATGTGTGTGTACTCGGATGTTGGTTGATCTTCGATGTGTTGAGCCATGGCAGAGGTGTCTTCTGAGAGAGAGAGAGAGAGTAAGGGTTTGGGTTGGTGTAGAAGAGAATAATGGAGAGAGGAAGAGTAGTTACCTGAGAGAGAACCCGCCGGAAGGAACGGACTGCTTGTAGTGGTGGGTTTTCGACGCAGTAGAGAGAGGAGTTAGGAGAGAGAGAATGCGTTTACGTGCGTAGCGTCTGTTCGAGTTTTTTTTTATTTCGGTAAGTAGCGTGTAGGAAGTCTGGCTCAGTTAAAAAAATAAAGCGTTAATTGCAATGGATGCGCTCATAGCATAAAATTTGTCTTATTTTAGTTTTAATATTTTAATTGTATTCTTTTAATTCTTAAAGTATTAAATATATTTTTATTTAATTTTTCAAGTAAATAACGTTTTGATTGCTATTTGTCACGTAAAACATAAATATGAATAATAAATAATTTTAATTACTCGTAAACAATATTTGGATAATTTTTGATCAAAAATGTGTAATATGAATAACTTTCAACTAAATTTTAGATAGTTCGTGATTAAAACTATGTAATTGGGTAACTATTTAACTAAAATTTGTGTAAAAATTTAGCTAAGAGTTATTAAAATTATTTTTTATCCATATTTAAGTATCACGTGACAAATTTATGATAAAAAATCGTTGTCTTAGCACATACAGCTTGGTTGTCTAACCACATGTAGCAGAGCTTAAATTAGTTTAGATATTGCTAAAAAAGACCCGGCTGGATTGATTGAACCATCGGAAATATCAAATATTTTAAATTTTAAAAAAAAATAATAAAAAATCGTTAACAATCTGAACGCTGTCTTCTTGAGGGATCATATAGAAATATATTCGATACATCAAGAACTACAATGATGCAATTAAAATCTTATGAACCAAAATAAGATAAATTTCATACTTTAAAGACCTCCAGTGCANAAATTTAGCTAAGAGTTATTAAAATTATTTTTTATCCATATTTAAGTATCACGTGATAAATTTATGATAAAAAATCGTTGTCTTAGCACATGCAGCTTGGTTGTCTAACCACATGTAGCAGAGCTTAAATTAGTTTAGATATTGCTAAAAAAGACCCGGCTGGATTGATTGAATCATCCGGAATATCAAATATTTTAAATTTTAAAAAAAATAATAAAAAATCGTTAACAATCTGAACGCTGTCTTCTTGAGGGATCATATAAAAATATATTCGATGCATCAAGAACTAAAATGATGCAATTAAAATATTATGAACCAAAATAAGATAAATCTCATACTTTAAAGACCTCCAGTGTAATTAATCCAAAAATAAATAAGGGGTGCCATTAGATTAGAAGCATGGATTAATCTGATCCATTAAATTTTTTGGTGATTATAGACCTTTGGATTATATTTTTTGATCAATCTGATCCGTGTATGGTGTGTTTGAAAAATAAATTATGTGAATTCGCCTCAGCAGACTAAAGACAAAAAAACAGTGTTCTATACTATAGATATGCAAGGCAGGGCGAGAATAAGTTTCAGTCAATTCTCATTTTTATTATCGTACGAATTTATACGAATATTTTATATAAATTCATTGTTCAATACGTATAGTAATCTATCTTCGATCCAAACAAAACAAGTTTGAACAAATCTCCGTTTTTTCTTGATCTATTGTCATTCCTAGTGTGAATATACTCAAATTCAATAAAATTCGCTTAATTAAAACCCTTAGTTGTCCTGCTAAACTCTCACNAAAAAAAAAAAAAGAAGATAAAGATAAATAATAATCCACCATCACCAAGAAAAGGACAAAAGGGTCTACTTGTTCTTCTTCCTCCTCTTTTGTACTTTTTTTTTTTTTTAAAATTAATTTTTTGTTATTTTATGTTTTATGTTTGTTGTTTGGGAGGAGGGTTCAGAATAGTTTTTATATTTCAATTTTTATTCAATTGTTGGTTTTCTAGTATGTCTTTTGGAAACAATTACAGTTTTTTTTTTTTTTTGGCTAAAGATAAATTGAGATTAAGGGAAAAATGAGTACAAAATTCAAGCATCGAGGCACGCCCAGAGGCCATATAAGAAAATTCTCGACCTAGTCTAAAAACTTAAAGTAGCTCATAGAGATTAAGTAGACTGAAATACAAGAAAATCGAATGTCATCCTGCAACAGTTGAGATGGTACATTTTGTGGTGTTGGAATGTGTTGGCTGTGACGGAGGTATGACCCTGGTGGTAGCAGAGGTAGAGATGATGGTGATGTTTTTTTTTTTGGTCAGAATATAAATTGTCATTATATAAACTGGGAGTACAAGTCTTTTAACATTGTAATTTTACGCTATACCTATTCCAGCTTCCTTGAGAATAATTTGCATCAGTTGCTGTGGAGGGAATGTTATCGGGGGGGAGAGTACCTTGTCATGTATATATGGCCACTGTGTATGTTGCTGAGCTGCATGACCTCCTCGTGAATCTGTACCTAACATTAGATTGTTGCTCTGCAGAGTGCCAAAGATTTTGTTGGATTGCTTCAATCTCCCTTATGATTGTTATTAGTCCCAGCTTGAGAGAGTCAAAAAGGCCTTTTGAGTCCGATTCTATTATCACTGCATGATATCCATTCTCCAAAGCCATCTTACATGCGCTCTTCTTACTGCACAGCCTTCAGCTACTAATGGTGAGGAGGCTGAGGCTGAGGCTGTTATGTTAACAGAAGCCCCATTTATCAACTGTCCCTCGTGATTGCGCACCAGANATGCGCTCTTCTTACTGCACAGCCTTCAGCTACTAATGGTGAGGAGGCTGAGGCTGTTATGTTAACAGAAGCCCCATTTATCAACTGTCCCTCGTGATTGCGCACCCCAGTCACATCACATATGATGCTTTCCTAGCTTGTTCTAAGTAAGCTTCATTAACATTGATTTTCACCAACCCCACCGTGGGAGAGTCCATTTAGTTTCTGTATGAGTAGGGACTGGCTGGTTACCTTCATCTTCTCTTAGACCAACCAAGCCTAAGGTATTTGTTGATAACATGGAACCCAAG